AGTGGACAATTCATAATTCTTACTGCCTCCATACCTGGGGTTGAGTCCTACCTCTCCTTACCCCCATTACATATGGAATATGGTCAACTAATTTTTTTGTTCTAATCGAAAGGTCTTTTTTGTTATAAATAACATGAATGAATGATTTCTTTTCCTTCCTAGAAGAATTTGGTAATGGAGTCTCTCGGATTTCTGTATGGTGGCTTGGAACTTGGAAGCATTTCTTCATTTTTTTACTGTTCTTAATTTCTTTTCTCTGTTGGTTTCCTTTTAAGTTTAATTTAGTTTTGAACCCTTCAATCACGGATAAAGTCTCTTTTATTTTTAGGAAAGAAGAAATGAAAAATATAATAAAAGTGATTGTGTGGAGAATAATTCAAACACAATCGGCCTTTGAAAATGAAAACCAAACTGAGAGAGACCCACTTTTGTTGGGATCAAACACAAAAAAATACTGGAGCATGTGACCATATACCCTCCGTTTCTTCTTATTTACTTTTGGTTTTAAGAAAATAAAACACCCAAAGCCATGTTTTCTCCTTGATTAAACAGGTGCTTATTTCTTTTATATGTTTCTTCCTCTTTTCTATGTTCTAAACCATCCATGTATTCTTTTGTTTCAATTCAGTTTTGAGGTGATCTTTTTTTTTTTAATTTACTTTGGTGACTATGTCTGTGAATGCTCTTGTTTGGAATTCATAACCCTGTCATGCAATTCTAGAATTATTTTTTTTGATGGAAAGAAAATTGAAATTTAACCCCTTGGTGGACAGGCCTAATAGTTTGTGATATAGAATTGTGCTTAGGACTCTGTTCTGCAAATTTTCCTTGTTAATGGTTTGTTTTCCGTTCCCTTTCTCTTTTTGGAAGGAAGGGTGCATAGGTTAGAGCAATAAAGCTTATACAAACACTATCTGTACGGTTCCAAATTTGAGTAGCCTTTAACTATTGTTACTTGTCACTATCTTTTTAGTGATATTTTCGAATTGCTCGGTGGTGATTATGTTAATGGCTCTTAAATCATAGCCTGAGTAAGTTATAAGCATTCAAGTTAATAATTTGAAGTTGCAAATTTCGTTTTTGTGTGGAAAGGTAAAACCATATTGAAGTTGGATCTATGTATGAACATTTGCGCCCTTGTTTCTTGTTTTTATACGTTATGTTAGTTTTGTGTTGAAAGTTAGCCAGCTTTAGAAGTTTGACAAGTGGTTTTTGTCCTTTAATTTTTTAATGGAAAGTAGCATCAAGAATAGTCATCCTGGATGAAGTAAGGTTGTTGTCTAGCTCCCGTCTAAAGAGGCAGTGTTTCTAATTATTGTTTTCCTGTTCAACGAATTTTATGGCGTTCTTGCAGCATAGATGCTGTTTATGCTTGCAATTATGATTTTGGTTTTTTTTCCCTCCTGAACTAAACATGTGTCATGATGGAGGAACTCTGTCATTGCTTGATACATTTTTTTGATTTATTTCCAGATATAAGGGATACTTGTGATCTAGATGGATGGATATAGTGGTAAAAGAGCTGTTGATGGGCCTGTTGTACATGGAAAGGGACCTGGTCGCATTTTGAAGGACAGTGTTAATAACAGAGAACGGAATGCTCAGTTTTGCAATCGAATTGGATGCAGTGGTAGGCTGAATTCCTCAAAATGCACTCCAAATAGCTGCTTGGATAAAGCCAAATCTTCAAGGCCTTACCACTCTTCATCAAGTGGAAAGCAAGTAATTGGAAATTCCTCTAGGGTATCCTCTGCAGTTAGTAACACTAGGAAATCATCTACAAATCCTCGGAAAAAGCTATCATCTCAGCTGGAAACGGATTCATCTGAAACTAGGAGCCTTCAGGATGAGCTGGAAGTGTCCGAGCTCATACCTCCACCAGGAAAGATTCAAAGAGGGTTGCATCATGAATCCAACAATGCTGATTCTAGGGATGTTACAGTGATGGGAGTGGGAAGCTCTAGTTTAGCATTAAACTCTAGACCTAGGAGAAAATTTATTCAAAGATCTGGGTTGAGCAACCAGGATACTCTGGCCAGTCCATCTGTTACTTTGGGATCTCAAAGCACTTCCCAGGTGACTCGTTCTAGCACAAGCAAGTACGGTTTGAGAAATCTAAGATGTAATTCTATTTCTGATCTTGTCATAACTGGTTCTTCATCTTCGGATTCAAGCCTCAGTGAAAAGAAAGACATGGTAAAAAAGAGAAACTCTGATGAGGAGGGTAGTTCCTCCAAAGGGAAAAAGTTGAGTGGGCCATCTTTGGAGGGACGTTACAACAGTTCTGGCCACGGTGTTTCCATTTCTGATTCAAGACGGGGAAGGAATTGGCCTCCCAACAGAGGTAGCGTTGTTGCTTCAGTTAGAACTCGGAGGTCAAACAGTAGTTATGTTAGAGGGAGACTCCCTAACCAAGCAAACAGAAATAGTTTAACTTTGAATGAGTCTCCTGTAGTAATGCCACAAGTGCCTCAATCAGATATACCCAACAATTTGAGTGCTCTTGTTTCCACAGAAATTGATTCAACTCGTGCTAGTCCTTACAGTCAATCGGGTAGTATAAGTGAGGGTTTATGCAGTATCATACAGTCTAGTCCTTCAGAAGTTGGCACTAACCGCACCTTAGTGAACCGGGATAGCTTCCGGCGCTACAATATGGATGGCATTGCAGAGGTATATTGATCTCAACCTGCATTGTCCAATGCATGGATTTAGAACTTTCTCATTATTCATTGTTTCCTTCTAAGGGCTGCGTGGTGTTGCGAACAGCTTTTACCCATTAATATCTGAAATCAGTTGGTGTTACATAGTTCTCCCTCCGGAGAGATTAAAATGAATCATAAGCTTGTTTGCAGTATTGTTTTATTTATTACTATTGGTCTATGTGTATGCAGGTATTATTAGCACTTCAGAGGGTTGAACAAGATGAAGAGTTGACATATGAGGTAATTAGTCTTGAAGTGTTTCATATTGCCTGATGGTTCTGTTGCTGATTTCTGTTTCTGTCTTGCAGCAATTACTTTCTAGAGACCAGCTTGTTCCTTAATGGCCTAGACTTTTATGATCAGCATAGAGAGATGAGGCTGGATATAGATAATATGTCATATGAGGTTTGTTTTTGTTTTTGCTATGCCGGTGCTAAGTATGCATTTTATTTTCCCAGGTATGTGCCTTTTTGTCAAAGGTAAACTACATGATTAGCCTTTCTTGCTATCATGACAGGAATTACTAGCTTTAGAAGAGAGAATGGGTGATGTGAACACTGGGCTATCCAAAGACGCGTTGTCCAAATGCCTCAAAAAAAGCATCTACAACACAACATCTTCGGAGTATGCAAATATGAGCTGTGAGGGTGAAAAGGATGATGTCAAATGCAGCATTTGTCAGGTACTTTCCGCTATCACTGAAAACGCTTTTCATTTCTTCTACTCGTCTAATAATGAATGTGAGCAGAAGGGTTTTTCATTCGATGATTTTTGTTTGCAGGAAGAGTATGTGATTGGAGATGAAGTAGGGAGGTTACAGTGTGAGCATAAGTATCACGCAGCATGCATAGAGCAGTGGCTGCAGGTGAAGAACTGGTGCCCTATTTGCAAAGAATCGGCAGTGAAACCGCACGGTCTTCACTCACCTCTTGATTGAGCTGAATCTGAAGAACAGAAAGAAAGAAAGAAGGCAAAGAGAGTTTTCTTTTGTACAAATTGATGGGTTCTCTTCAATATTATTATTATTATTTTATTAACTTTATATTATGATGATTATGTAAATATGGAACCCCTTCATTAAGTCAGCTAATAAACCAAGTGATGTTGTTTCTGCACTGGATCTTATTCCCCCAAAGGAATGCATATCAGATTGCACATGTTACTGCAGTTGTTGAAGGTGACAAGTATTTTTTTAATCTTTTTTAATTTAATTTCTGGTAAACGTGAGTTAGGTGTACGATGTACTTATTTTTCATCCCTTCCTTGAATGCAAAAGCAATTATGTTTTTTTTGCTGATATTTGAAGGTTTAGGGTACACGCTAAACAGTGATACAGGATCTTATGTGACGCTGACATCATCGGCTTCTGAATTTGAATTCTAATTCTATTTTGGCCTTTGATTATGCAATGCAAAGGCTTTGGTACCTACGTCAATGATTTCTATCTAAATCTTCAAGCTATGCCCTCATTTCATTTTCATTGGTTTATTTCTTTGGTGTTTTGCCTGCAATTTTTCTGCTTTTGTTTTGGTTGCGTCAAATTGGAATGACGGAAGGTGATACCTACCTGAATATCCATACTGATGATTTTTTGCAATAACACATCAGTGTGCAAAATAAGGCCTGAAAAAGTGAAACAACCCCCTTCATCACAACATATTGATATTATAACTGATACAGGTCGATGCGGAAGAAAGATTATAACAATAGCTGCACAAGATTTCCTGGTTCATTATGTCAGTGCTTTATGGTTATATATATATATATATATATATATACACACACACACAACAATTGATCTTCCCAAGCAACAATGTAGCTTAAAAAATAACGTCCAACATCAGACATAAAAACCATGTCCATGGCTCTGAATTAGAAAGGGTGTTCCCCAACATGAGACGTAAATTTCCAAATGCCTTGAAAATATTTAAACATCATTCACTAATTCATCAACTGAACCCTGACAGCAGCCGCATGGTTCAGATGTAGCTAACTATTTAAAATTAGTAAGCTCGATAAGCAACTCATGAACTTTGTTACATTCGTTAGCTTGAAACTAGAAATTTAGTACGTATCAAATCAAGAATCAGAACAGTACTTTGAGCACCGTGAAAACTGTGTGGCACAAAATCTAATAAATGATAATTGATTACATTAACAAGTCAACTTCACAGAAAAATAGAATCGGTAGCACAGAAGCTAGAAATTCCAGCAGTTGTTGAGTGGCAGCATCTAGATATCAATCACCATGGATAATTTAATGGATGCTGATTTGATATTATTCATGGAACTCAATAAATTCTCAGATTTTAAAATTATACAGCGCTATGCAGCATCCCCTACATAAGTAAGTTTACCTTTCAACAAGCTACAAAACAGTTTTCCAGCAAAATTTTCTTAGGCTTCCTACTTGTTGACTGTAGTTTGCAAACAAAGCTTGAGATGTGTAGATAGCCAAAACAATGCTAATCATACAACATGACAACCAGTTGTCAGCACTTCCTTTTCAAGCATCTTAGCTCAGTTGCTCAAAAGTAATTTCCAGATCCATCCTGGCTCTGTGGAAGGGGTACATGCATGCCCACACTTTAACCCACAATTTCATCTTCAAGGGTCAGAGCTTTATGCAATTGGGCACCATCTGATTAATGTCAGTAATGGGAAGAACTGTGATCTTCAGTGATCATTTTTGTCAAGAAAAATTTGCACGGCATTCACTACTCAAAACAATGAATACAAACTTTTTCTAGTACCAACGGCCAATCTTCACCCAGCTGCTGGGGATTTAGCTCCATTGCCACTTTAAAATCAAGCAAAGATATCGAGCAATTCTGCCCAGGTTCCCGCAAAATTTCTGTGGGCCCAGAGCTACTCTGCATATGCAAGTGGTTACTTGGCCACATACCATTCATAAGCTTGCCTTGAGGGTGCTGCTTGTGGGCAAATTGCTTTTTCAATTCTGGTGTAGACCTTGATCCCACCAGATCTACACATGACCTGATAAGTTTCTTTAAGTATACATCCAACATGTTATTTAGCATACTAGCACATTCCACAGAAACCCCACCAAGGCCCTGTGCTGCTGCAATCTGCTCCATACGTGTCTTCAATGTCTCAATATCATATAAACCACCACAGCCATAGTAGCTAACGAAGTCACCACTGCTTGCTACTGGCAAAGCTTTGAAGGCCCCTCCAACACTAGCTGAGCAAAATGGGATCCCAAGTGGTGCTAGCAGACGGCTTCTGGAGAGATTATTGTGGTTAGCTTGCTCCAGCTCCTCCCAATCTTCAACAACAGCTGCTCCAGCCTGGTTTTTACTAAGCAGTCTTGGTTTTTCTGTAAAGTGCACGTAACCTTCTCTTTCAATTTCAGGCAGCTCAGCAACTAATTGAAGATTCTGTACTGGTCTCTGGTAATCATAAGGAATCAAATCACTGCCATTATCTTCCATTCCAATCGAGTGATCTGAGACCCTCTCAACCTTCCCATTTGGCCCAAGTGGGCTGGGTCTATCCCTGAGCTTTCTATCCCGTACTCCAGACCTAGCCTTTCGTGGGGATGACACTGGGAAAACCCCATTTGACCAAATGTCCACATTTTGGTTGGGAACAAGGGATCCATTCTGTTCATGTGCATCTTCTCTACCAGGAGACCTTTTCACAGTTTGTATCAAAGATTTCACGGGAGCTTCATGAACTGGGGGTGAAGTCTTAGCCTGACATGCATTTTTCAAGATTGAACGTATCAACTGATTATGCAGTGACAGATTCTGCCTCCCAATAAAGCGGTAACATGACTTATCAAACTCGCATTTACTGAGCTTCTGACTTAGAAACCTACTCAAATTATAAAAATACCTTTTTGACCTCTCAACTCCAATCTTCTTCACTATCTGAGATTTCAGTTCACCTAAGTCGATTCTAGAGCCCTGCTGGGATTGCATTGCTCAATGAACAAATTCCTACACCATTCTCAGAACTAAAGAATAGCTGAAACCCGTTTGCAACCCAATTTACAGTTATCTCCAGCACCAAAAAAGTCCAAATCCGCTTTGCATAACATATAATGCAGACCAAACTCTCAGTCTACGCATATAGAAAGTAAAGCAGCATGCTTGAAATCCTAGAGAGAGGGGAAAAAACTCAAAATTCCCAAGGCGGATAAAGTTATTTCAACTTCCAAACATGCCGGAATTCTCCCAGGGAGAAACCATACAATGCAAACCAAATCTCATTGTTGCAGAACCAAAACCCAATGGATCAAACCCCACTTGAGTAGTTGATAGAAACACCGGTAAACAAAGCCGAATTGAATAATGCAAAGAACAAACCAAAACCCTGGAGATGGAATCACCTAACTTAAAAGAAACAACAGCGCGTCATCTCAACCCCGCGAACCGAAAATTTAAACCACTGCAGTAATTAAAACCCTACAAGATTATTTAAAAAAAATACGGGAAATAAAAAAAGTTAAGAATTAGAAAATTAAAGTTGCAAGAAAAGAGATCAGTGGAGTTGGTAGGATAAGAGGTAAGAAAAGAGCAAGAATTGCAGAGACAGTAAGCAGAATGAAAGCGGAAAAAACAAGCTCACAACAACGAAAACAAAAGTTAAAAGATTGATGGGACTGACCTTGCTCGAACAAATTGCATAGAAATCGGGTGCCACGAAGTTGTTGTTTGGGGTTGGATTGTTCGCAGGCAGCCTCGATTTGTTTGATATTTTTCTTTTTTATTTACAATCGAGTGAGTTCATTATTATTATTTATTTATTTCGAGCTTTCTTGTTTTGCTATTATAGTTTCAGCTCCGCTTTGTGTTAGATCGATCTCTTGCTCTCTCACTGCTACTATTTTAGTTTCTCTATTTTCTATTTTAGTTTTTAATTAATTAGTTAAATCTTATTAAATTGAGTAATATCTCCCTCTCTTCTTTCCTGCTATCTCATCCTGTTTTTCATTTTTATTTTGCAAATATTTGTTCGTGAATTGAGTATCTGAGTTCATCATTTTGGGCATTGTCATGTCATATTAAAAGGAATCGGTGAGTGTACTGGATAATTAAGTCTCTTTTAGTTTCGTACATATATCAAATAGCATAATTTTTTTTTAAATATATTTAAGAATGTAATTTTATTTTATGAAATAAAAGGAAAAAAGGGGTAATGCAATCTCAATGAATTGTAAAAGCAAATAAGATACTAGGCAAGTTACAAACGGTATAAGTTTCAATGTGCAAATATATTAATTGGAGATCAATTTATTTAAGCAGATATATGACTTTTTATTATAATTTAGATTTTTTTAATAAAATTAGCGGTTTCTATTTAAAAAAAATAGATATATGGTTTTAAGTAATTATTTTGACTTGTATAATTATGATGACTTTTCACCGGTTTACCATCAAAACAAAAGTAAAAGATGATATGGCTTAGTTTATGTTAATGTTAATCGTGCATCAATTACATTTTTCCACTACAAATTGTGAACGTCGTAACAATTTTCATTTAGGAGAATTCTCCCATCAATTACAAACGTTTAATTCTCTTGTTTAAAACATTGGAATGAACTCATTTGGAACATCATGTATCCATTATAAAGGGCAGTATTTATGATATTGTATATTAACAACAAAAAGAGGGGCGAACAGTGAACATAAATTCCAACATTTAGGAAAAGGAAAATGGACCCAAGTCTAGAACAATAATATTCGCGATGAAAAGGGCCTTGTTCATCATCGTCGTCGTCACTCATTTTAAACAGTGTAATGCTGCTGAATGGTATCGATATCAAGCCCCTTGAGCTTAACAACCGATTCAACATGCCCCTTCAGTGTATTGAGCTCCCTCAGCCTACACAAAATCATCATCAAAATCCGAAATCATAAAACATTTTCACTGTTTTCTTTCAAGTGCATATACATGGCAAAGTATGTGCAGAAATTAGATGGCTCACCTTGCAACCTCAGCCCTGCGCTTGGCCTGCTCTGCAATCTCTGAAAGCTCCCTGTAACTGCTCCTTTCATGGAAAATGCTTGAGGTTTCTGGTGGTTGAAGGCCATGCAGAGTTCTCTGCGCAGCTGCCCATTGTGCTTCTCTCTCCTCTTTTCCATAATCTTTCTTCGTAGTGAAGGCAGTCTATAATGCAAAGAACCAATGAAATTCACGACACCACAAGACAAAAGTCAAAGCTCTCGACAAATTTGGAATGAATGAAACATACCCTGTTCTCCAAAAGATTATCCCAAGCTTTTCCACTAAGAACATAACGTATTGCAAACTTGAGAAGATCCAGTGGGATATATGTTACCACACTGTATAGCCAGATTACACCAGCCCATCCCCAACCCATACCTTTAATCCTTGCGAAACCCCAATTTGCATACACGGCTATCAAAGTGGCCACCTGCCACACATTTTTAGGTCGTTATAACTATAAATTTATAATCGGGAGTAATCTGTTAATAACACACTATATAATATATTCATATATGAGCCTTCTAAAACTTATGATAAAAAAATAGACTTCTTTAATGGATAGTTTACTAGATTAATTAATTTTTCTTACCAGCTGAGCAATCATAAAAGCACTGACTAGCAGAAGTCCTGGACGTTCAAAATAGGACCAACTGCGAGACCTTGTGACGAAAATGAGGGCCTGACTCACAATACTAACTTGAAGGTATAAAGCTGCCATCATTTCTTCATTACTATTCCTCAGTGGTCTAACGTGAAATGTGTCCTGAAATAGAGGAAATGGAAACATACCAAAATTAAAAGAAATCTCACCAAAACAATACATTAAGGATACATAGCAAACGAGGTTCTTACTGAGAAGAAATTAGTGTCTATCATTGCCCAGAAGAATATCACAGTCATTAGAGCTAAGTAACCTCCAAGCACAATGCCAGTAGCAAAAATCTCCTTGAGTTTCCAGCTGTCCGGTTGTGGAGATGGCTTCACTCTGTCCTTGGAAATTGTCATGATTGTACCTATAAATATGATGATGACTTAATCAGATTCAAAATCATGATGGGTGTGGGTCCTGGTGACTTGTACAATAACGCATATTGATAAAACAATGAACAATCTGATAAAGAACATCTCACCGTCATTCAGGATGGCAATAATTAAAACCATGAAGGGTGCAAAGTCAAACTTCCAGATCAAGGCGATAAACATGAAGCCAAACTGCCAAATGACAATGAAAAACTTAATCCATTTGTAAAGTGATTAAGCATTACCAGTATTCTGCGTCTTAGAGGTCTTTATATACTTACCACAATACGAATGGTGATTGAAACTGCATAGATCTACAATGTGAAGGAATAAGAGAAAAAAGGTTACAATCACTTTACCGAGGAATAAGGGAGTGGAAAAGCAAACAAAAAGAAAGCAAATATATACTCACAGTGTAGTTCTTCATCCTTTGGAAAATAGCCCTGCTGGTCAGCACTGCACTGATAATGACACTTAGCCCGGGTTCAGTCAGTACGATGTCTGAAGCACTTCGAGCTGCATCTGTAGCATCAGCAACAGCAATTCCAATGTCTGCCTTCTTTAAAGCAGGGGCATCATTGACACCATCTCCTGTCATGCCACAAATATGCTTTCTCTCCTGTAGCCTCTTAACTATTTCATACTTGTGTTCTGTCATTGGTAAGAAAAGGAACTGTTAGGGAGAAAAAAATTAAAAGAGTAGAGGCCCCATAATTAATTAATGGAACTTTTAAAAAATTATCCAAGTATCAAAGGTGCATGGAAATCAATAGTTATTGTGATGATTACAGGCAGCCAGTGTTACAGAACACTTTCCTCGAAAAGCGAAAGTATAGAAGCTTTATCAACAAAGTTCTTAAAACACCTGGAAACACTCCTGCAAATCCGTCAGCCTTTTCAATCAATTCATCTATAGGGAGAGCAGCAATGGAAGCGTCCTTGCCTTGGCCCAGCAAAGAAGATGAAGGATACATGTTTGTTCCCATTCCAAGCCTCCTGCCGGTTTCCTTGGCAATTGCAAGCTGATCCCCTTGGTATTAAAAAAATAGTATAAAGATTACATCATGAAGTTATAGACAATGTTCAATTCTAAACAACTAAACAACTCTGACCGGTAATCATCTTAACATTCACTCCAAGGTTAAGAGCTCTTCTGATTGTCTCAGCGCTATCATGCCTTGGAGGATCAAATAGTGGCAACAAACCGACAAACTGCCATGGTGCCCCAGGATCATCTTTTGTTTTCTCAGGTATTTCCTGCAGAAATAGAAATCAAACGTAGTATTATTATCACAATTTAGTTTTCTCGATTTAAGCATGTGCAAGTTTAATTTTCTGACCTGTCTTGCAACAGCTAAAGACCGAAGCCCGCGTTCAGCAAATTTATCAATAACTGCATGAACCTTTCTCTTGACATCTTCTTTGCAATTGCAAAGAGTTATAATCTATTTAAGAATATTGAAAGCATATATGTTAGAAGTTACCTACCAAAAAAGGTCAGAACTATTCTAAAATGAGAAAATAAAGTACCTGCTCTGGTGCACCTTTGCTAGCACGATGCCAGTTTCCATCAGAATCAATGTAGGTTAGTGCAGTTCTCTTGTCTACAGGGTTGAACGGGAGGAAGTGAATCTCTCGAATGCCGGCACGTGCCTGCCCAATTAGTATCCAAAATGACTAAGGAATTCTTGTACTCAATCGTAAATATAATAAAAGACCAGGAAGAGAAAAAAAATACCTCCTTTGGATCCGCAAGCATTCCAACAATTGCAGCATCAATAGCATCCTGATTTTCAGTCCTTGATGCCCTTGCAGCATAAAGAATAACATGCTCTCTTTCGACTCCCTTTGCAAATACTTCAATTAGGTTTCTATCAACAGTAAGTTTGTTCAAAGTCAGAGTTCCAGTCTTATCACTGCATAGAACATCCATTCCTGCCATTTCTTCAATGGCTGTCATTCTCTTTGTGATAGCCCCTTGTTGAGAAAGCCTGTGGGAACCAATAGCCATGGTGACAGACAACACAGTTGGCATAGCAATTGGGATTCCACCAATCAAGAGAACCAGTAAATTGTCAATCCCATCCCTATACTTGCGGTTCTGTATTGGGTACATGACTATTAACTCAACGGCTATTCCAACTGCAATTGAGCAGATGCAGAAATTACCAATGGCAGTCAGAACTTTCTGGAAATGCCCAACTTGATTGGTGCTGTCCACTAGGTGGGCAGCTTTACCAAAGAAGGTGTGAACACCAGTTGCAATAACAACTGCTTCTATTTCGCCCTGTTTACACGTTGAACCAGAAAACACTTCATCTGATGGATTCTTCGTGACAGGAAGAGACTCCCCAGTAAGAGCAGATTGATCAATCTTCAAAGGATCACCCTCAAGAAGACGAGCATCCGCAGGAACTATGTCTCCCAATTTAATAGTGATAATGTCCCCTGGAACTAGAATTGCTGCTTCTTGCTCGCTCCATCGACCATCTCTAAGAACCTATATGTTACATGGACAACAAACCGGAATCATGAGTAAAATAAGATAGAAAGATGATTCAACAAACTGTTGGGTTGCTGAATATATCTCACTTTAGTTTTTGGAGCAAGATTAGCCATGAGAGCAGCTGCAGCGTTACCAGCATTATTTTCTTCAATAAAACTAATGGTGGAGTTGATCACCAAGAGGACAATGATACCAACGAAGTCCTGCCAGTCCGGCGGCCTTCCATCACCA